GGATATTTGACAGTTCCCTGAGGGTACCACACACACACACACACACACACACACACACACACACACACACACACACACACGCCACACTACCAGGGCCACCGAAGGGGGACAAATGGACTTAAGCAAGCGCTCAGCAGAAGTGGCCACCAAACAGCCATTATCCGAACCAGTGATGCTTCAGGAAGACGCTTGCAGAAGAGAATTGGAGGACACTGCGAGGTACAGACCAAGCAAGCTCACCAGTAAAGCAAAGGAACGGTGGAGAGCTGGCATACACCGCAGGCACCGCGCGGGCACAGCTGGGAATGGTACAGTGACATCTCTAGCACTGCGCGTATTTATGGGGAAAAAGCAAGTTGCGGTTCTGCCCAAATTTACCTCAGGATGAGCACTCCCCTGTGTTCTGACATCTGGTACATTCTGTCATTCTTGTAGTTGTAGAAATTGGGCCTAGAAAGTTCAAGGTTGACCTACTGACTAACCTTGGGTCACTTTGACAGATTTTTGAGTGTTCCTTTAAACAAAGGATGGAGTTCTGCCAGACCTTGAAGACAGACGTCCATCCTTGAAATAAGTATTTTCCTTTGCAAATCTTTTTGTGGCTAGACCCTACAGGAGTCATTTTCCCACGTGTCCCCAGACCTCTTCCCCACCCCATCCCCCACCGGAAAAAGTCTTTAAGACATCCTTGCTCAGTTCCCAGAGAACATGGATTATTTGCCTTGTAAGCAGGCGGGGTCAGAAGGAGAGAGAGGCTGTTTCTTACATTTTTACTGAGTGTTGCAGGTTGCGGGGGGGGGGGGGGGGGGGGGGAGACATGAATTAGACTTAAAGCAAAGCAAACCGTGCCTGAGTGCTTTTAACCAAGTTGCTCATGAATATAGTTTTGTCTCTAAAATCCTGGCTCGTTTCCCATCCTCCCGTTCTCTGATCACCTACCTCAAAAATGACAGCTTGTTGCCGGGTACCTGTAGTTCATGCCTGTATCCCCAGCTACTCAGGTGGCTGAGATCCTCATCCCTGCAAGGAAAGTGCATGAGACTCTTATTTCCAAAAAGCCAGAAGTGGAGGTATGCCAGCCTTGAGCAAAAAAGCTGAGACAGCACCCAAGCCCTGAATTCAAGTCCTAGTACACACACACACACACACACACACACACACACAGAGATGGCAATGAAATTAATCATTAAAGCACACAGGGTCCACAGCTGATCGACTTCTTCCTCTTGCTATATTGGCCTAAAAAAATTGTCTCATATAATTCTATAGTGACTCGTGCTAGGAATTCTGCAAATATCCAAACCAACAAGGAAAACCAACTCAGAATCCTCCAGCGCCCAGAGCTTTGGGTGTTGTTGACTGTGCCAGGCTGAGTGTCATCACTGGCTGACGTGAGAGTCCTACGTCTTCCCATCAGCAACATCGAGCAGATATTTTTAGGGCTCCACTCATTAGACTTGGGCGGGTGCCCTGTGATCTCCTTCTAAGCAAGGCTGAGAGATCCTGTGAGTCAACAGTATTTGCCTCTGTTTCATCCATTGTTTGGAGCCATGACTCACATCTGGGACAATCATTGCCCACCACTGTGGATTCTTCAGGTCTGAATCATATGAAGGGCCTCACCTCTTCCCCACCCGCACCCCCAACCCCAGCCTTTCTTTTAAAATGTCTTCTCTATGGTCATCAAATAATTACTCCTGGGGGGAATCAGAAGAAAGGTCTGATCTCCACCTCTAGTTCTTTTCCTCCGTGCCTGGAGCCACACCCCAACTCCCCACACCCCAACTTCCCATGGCTTCAACTTCTGTACCTTCAAGTAAGTGTTGATTGGGAAAGCAGGCAAAATCAGGGTACTGCCCTCCACTGAACCGAGGTCAATCTGATTTTTAAAACCGTAGACTTTATTTTAGAGTTCCAGCAAGTTCCTCGGAAGTTGCCAGCCGTTTGGGAATTACTCTTTCGAATCTGTCTGATTCTTCTTCAAGAATCAACCCTTTCGATTTTAGACCTCAGGAATGAGAAGAGGAGGAGGGGCTGCCACCCGCTGCGGCCAGGCATCTCGTTAATTGCTTTCATCTGAAAGACAAACAAACCGCATGCAAAGTCTGGGGGTGGTGTGGGTGTGCAAATGGCTGCAGCTGGCCAAGGTGCAGGGAAGATTCCAGAGCTAGCTCGCTGGGCAGTTAACACGACCAGATCTTAGGAGTCACCTGAGGCCTAGTTAGTCAGCACCCAGGAGACTTTACCCACCAAAGGGGTGGGGTGAGATGTCAACCCCCTTTCACTTTTTTGGCAGAGAAACATTTTTCCTGGTCCTTCCCCTATGGAGTGGCTGGCTATCGTACTGGACATTCCCTGGCCAGCAGTAAGGCCTGTGGCATGGAGCGCGCAGTGGGGAGGTATTTGTTCCTTGAAGGTTATTAACGGGCAATTGGTTACAGATTCAGAACAGCTCGTGTGTGTGCACTCAGAACATTAATTTAGATAAATGTTAAGCATCGAACACTGACTACAGACTGGGGGGTGGGAGGGAGATTTTCCTTCCTCCTCCACCAATCAGAACTGGCTCTGGAGAAGGTGTGTGTGGGAGGTGGGGGGTTGAGACATCCAATCAAAAGCCTAGTCCTGTGGGTATAAGTGCCTCTGTGCCCAGGTTGATAACCCAGGTTGTATATTTTTTTTTCTGCAGAGCAGGAGACACTGGTCTCCACTGGGAGTAGACAAAATACACCCACCCCAATTCAAGTTCATATTAGCCACATATAATTGTTTTAATTTTTTGTCAGTTGTAGGGCTTGAACTCGGGGCCTAGATGCTGCCCTTGGGCTTTTTTGCTCAAGGCTAGAGCTCTACCACTAGAGCCATAGCTCCACTTCCAGTTTTCTGGTGGGTAATTGGAGATAAGAGACTCATGAACTTTCCTGCCCAGGCTGGCTTCCAACCTGATCCTCAGATCTCAGCCTCCTGAGTAACTACGATTATAGGAATGAGCCACCAGTATCCACCCCATAATTTGTTTTTAGCATAGCATATCCCCTATGAGATTTTTAAGTAAGACATTTTTTTTTAATTCATTGTTTATCTGAAATTCAAACGAACTGGACATCCTGTGTTTGATTTTCTGAATCCGGCACCACCATGACCAGGGAAGACTCCTGGACATGCACACAGCACATGCCCACAGAAAGACTGAAGTAGGAAGGGCCATCAGGCCAGCTTGCCCTTTGTTTCTGGGTTGATGGAAGGGTAACACCCAGGATCTGGCATCCAGCAAATCTTCCCAGCATGCTCACAGCCGTAGATTTTGGCTATGTTATCAAACAACCTTTGAATGTTCTTACGCAGTCTGGAGGGAACTGCTCCATCGCTTCTGTGTTACCTCTGAGATCCAGAAGATAAGCAGAACAATGTTTGGCCCCAAGATTTTTCATGGCACTCAGGACTGAACTCAGGACCTCATGCTTGCTAGGCAGGCGCTCAAGCACTCGAGCCATACTCCCAGTCCTTGGAAAGGTATGTGGCTCAGGATGGCCCAAACTCACAATGCTCCTGCCTCAGCCTCTCAGTACTAGGATTACAGTTGTGCACCACCATGCACGCCTGCTTCCTTTGCCTGTCTTAAGTTTGAAGTTTCTCATCTATAATGTAGTTCCCATTTCCTTCCTGACCACTTGGCAGAGCCGTGGACAGGACCAACCACATGTCCAGAGCCCAGTCACCTTTGTAATCGGCACTTACAGAGGGCAGGGTGGGTCTTCAGGATCACCATGGGCTTTTGCCGTGAGTCCCTCCTCCACTTGAGAGGGAGTGGGGAAAGCTGATGGGAAACACATCTGGGCGCTCAGCTTCCTGTCTCCTCCCCAGCCCTTCCTCCTTTCATTCTCAGAGTGCCCTCTTCCTGGGGTTTATATTTAGGAACCAAGACCTGTTTGTAAACAGGTTTGAAACTCAAATCAGGTACCTGTGCTAAACTGAAAGGACCCACCCAGAGTGGGTGGTCTGCAACTTGAGGCTTAAATCATCCGGAAAAATCCCAATTTCCTCCTCCTGGTGACAACAGAAACCAAATCTGACCAACTGAAGCAGAAGGGGAGTGTATGCAAAGCGAACAACATGATTCAAATCATTCAAGGAAGGCTGAAGAGCAGCCTAGAAGGACAGGAACCCAGGGCGGCAAGCAGGAACAGTATTTCCTGTGGTTCCTGTAGTTACTGTCCAGCCAGATGGGGGAGGAAGGGGTAGGTGGGGATCGTGATACATCTGTTCCCATTTTCTTTCTTTCCTTTTTTCCTTCCTTCCTTCCTTTCTTGTCCATTTATTATTGATATGAAACTCAGAGAGTGGCTTAAATAACAATAGAATAAACCTCCTATAATAAGTAGTCTGGAGTCTTGGGGTTGGTTTGATGACACAAACGTGTCACGATCTGAATCTTTTTTGTTTATTTTTTTTATTTCTTTCCTCCTTTTTTTTTTTTTGAAAGGGGTAAAAAAAGATGGGGAGACTAGGATTGAACTCAGGGCTCAAAAATTGTTAAGCAAGCAGTCCACCACAAAAGACACAACTCAGTCGTTTTGCGTTTATTTTTCAGATAAGGTCTCACACGTTTGCCCAGACTGGCCTCAGGCCAAGATCCTTCTATCTTGGCCTCTGAGTTGTTGCAATTTCGGGTATGTACTATCACACTTGACCCTGTTTAGTTTTGCTTTGCTTTGCAGGGCTAGTGATCAAACCCAGGGGGCTTTTAATACTGAACAAATGCTCTGCTACTGAGCTCTGGGCCTAGCCTTAATATCTGGCTGTTCAGAAACCAGATGGCTGCCGCAGCTCTAAATATATTCTCAGGACACTGTCACAAGCAGAGGAGAGGACAGCAGTGAAGGCTTCCTGCCATCCTTCCTTTGTAATTAATTGATTGAACTGAGCCAAATGGCCGAGCCAACTACAGGGAAGACCAGGAAGGCAAGTATCAGACAAGAGAAGAGTGAACAGGAGTCAGTCTAGACCAGGGCTTCATCTTCATCTCCTGGGCTGGGCGTGTTGATGCCCGTCACTAATTCAGTGTTCTGTTAGCAAGGAGACGGAGGCAAAGGCTCTCAAGCTTCCACTTCCCAGTGAAGAGAGCTGAAGGGCCTGGCTGAGCTCACCCTGTCTGAGTCACCAGGCCTGACCCAAAGGCAATCTGCCAGAAGGATCCCTGGACTGGAGGGAGGGGTAGAAGTTGAGTGCAGAGAAGACATCTTGAAGCACCCCCCACACACACTCAGTCTTTTTAGATCTGATGCTAACCCAACCCAACCAGGACAGGCTCTCTCATTGGTGGGAGCTCAATACAAATAAAAATGTAAAGACCCTGGTTCAGGGATCATTAAGAATTTAAACTACAATGTCCTTTTGAGTACAGGGCCCTGGTGGCTTCCCAGATCCCATGCCCATGATGCCTGTCCTGGGTCTGTCCCAGCACAGAGTGAATGTCCCAGGCAAGTAGGCCTGTCATTATGCTGCCGGGTCTATGGTAGAGAAAGCTAGACAAGATAGAAAGCCAGGGAAGGGATGATCCCATCTATTCTGAGGGTATGACCCTGGGCAGACGCCGACATCAGAGAAGTCATTGTTCCAGGCAGAACCTGGCAGAACAAAGGGCATGCAAGCTGCCTTTGCTCACATACCAGTTCAGAATGTGGCAATAGCTGTCTGCCATTTGACCATTGAAGTCCTCCTATATGGTACCTTGTCATTCTCTCCAGCTTGCAGATGAGGGCTCCCGGGCACAGGCAGGTCCGTGGTCCCTGACCAGACTGAGAGTGGAAGCCTGGAAGTGTGAATCCAGAGCCCATGTGCACTAGTGCTCTATGTCATGGAATGACCTGGAAGTTGTGGACAGTCAGCTTACAAACCAGACTTGAAGGGGGTGATGATCGGAGGGGCTTGGAGTCCTAGAGAGCGTGGAGGTTTGCTGAGGACATACTCAGCTGCAGGGGTACAGGATAGAGTCAAGGCCCAAGGATGTCTATGGGAGATGACCCCTGAGCTTTATCAAGGGGACAGGAGACTCAGTAGTTCTACAAAGGTATTATCACACATCACTCGTGTGTGTGTGTGTGTGTGTGTGTGTGTGTGTGTGTGTGTGTGTGTGTGTGTGTGTGTGTGTGTGTGTGTACTGGAACCTCATGCTTTCTCTGAGCTTTTTCATTCAAGACTGGCTAGTGCTCTACCACTTAACCCACACTTCCACTTTCAGCTTTTTACTGGTTCATTGGAAATAAGTGTCTTGGGGATTTTTCTGCCCAGACTGGCTTTGAACCTCAATCCTCATATCTCAGCCTCTTGAGTAGCTAGGATTACAGGCGTGAGCCACCGGCCCCCTGTTCTTCCCCCACCCTCTTCAACTTTTTTTTCAAAATGAATCCACTAGCCCAGACTATTTTTCTAAATATTTTAATTAAAATGCATTGTAATAGGAAAGCCTGAGTATACATAAAGTGTTCATGATGACTAAGAAAACCTATTTAAATAGTCCCAGTACTGAACATTTTGAGAATAAAATTTTAAGCAGCTTCTTGGCTTAAAGTATCTACATAGTTTAAAAAAATATCTTGCTATTCATTTTCTAGAAAGAGGCAGAAACACCGAGGCATTTTACTCAGCAGTGAGGCAGATACATCCATACACATTCTGCTTTCACAGGAGACTTGCAAAATGTTGCAACTGTACCATTCACGCCTCTGCAACCAATCAGTCCGAATCATTTGGAGAATAACTCGTCTCCAACTCAATTTATCTGAGACTCAGCTAATCTCGTTTCCAATGAATTTTTCCGTCCTGGACAATCCTTAAGAAATGTATGAATCTCTTACTTTATATAATAAGCACTAGATATTCCAGGGCTGACATCTAAAAGATTAAGTACATTCATGTAAAAAAAAAAAGACTCCTTATAAAATAGGATCTCACAGTGTAAAGGTGCTGTTGGAACATTTTGCCATCTACTGGAAGCTATGTTTATTTTATAGTAATATCTGAAATTCTTGCTAAAGTATTTTAGCAACTCTGTGCTCAATCTTCAAAGAGATGATACAAATTTGTGAATGACAAATGCAGATGGTAAGGGTGAAAAGATTTTCCCCAACTCCAAGACTCCCCGCAGTTAGAAAGAGTAGCAAGTATTTGAAGTATAGAATGGGGTGGAATCCAGAGCTTCATGCATGCTTGGCAAGCACTCTACCCTCCAGGCCCTGGACAAGATTTTTTTTTTTTTTATTGTAGCAATAATATTGACAATGTAAGTTTGGAAACATTGCAGTTAAGAGTGGTTTTGATGTCACAATACGTTCATACCACGCAAATAGATTCCCATGAGTAAATGAGTGTACGTTGTGTGTACACACACGTATGTACGTATGCCAGCACTGAGAACTGAACAAACAGGCATGCCAGCCTCATTGTTTGTTGTTTTTTTTTCTGCTCAGGGCTGGTGCTCTACTACTTGCACCGCATTCCACTTCTGCTTTTTGCTGGTTAATTGGAGATAAGATTTGTATGTTCTTGCTAGTTTTGCTGTGATCCTCAGATTACAGGCACGAGCTATGAGCACCCAGCTTTTCTGTTTTCTGTTTGTGTTTTGTTTTTCTTTGTTGGTCCTGAGGCTTGAACTCAGGGCCTGGATACTGTCCCCAAGCCTCTTTTTGCTCAAGGCTAACACTCTACCACTTGAGCCACAGTGCCACTTCCGGCTGTTTCTGAGTAGTTTACTGGAGATAAGAGTCTCATGGACTTTTCTGCCTGAGGTGGCTTTGAACTATGATCCTCAGATCTCAGCCTCCTGAGTAGCTAGGATTACAGGCGTGAGCCACCAGCTCCTGGATTTTTTTTGTTTGTTTCAGTTTTTGACAAAAGTCTTGCTATATAGCCCAGGCTAGCTTCTAACTCATGGTCCTCCTGCCTCAGTTTCCTGAGTGCTGGGATTACAGGCATGCACTACTATCCCAAAGCTATCAGCATACCCTGTATCTACTGATGAGGAACAAATTCCAAAACAAAATTGGAAACAACAGTTTAGATTTCAGAAACAAAACAAAAGGAGCTGAATGTGGTCAAGTGTGCCTGTAGTCACAGCTACCCAGGGAGGCTGATCCAAGGAGCCCAGCCTGACACCTGCTGGGCTGCCTGGCCCTTCCGAAGGGACCATCCAGCAAGGGCATGCCCGCCCCATGCACAGGCCAGGATGCCAGCACTCCTGTGCTGCTAACCAGCACAGCTGCCCCCTCTCTCCTGCAGTGTTTTCTACTTTTTGTTTGCTTGTTTGCTTGCTTGTTTTGAGATACTATGTAGCCCAGGCTGGACTTGAACTCAGACCCTCCTGCCTCAGCTCCTAGTACTAGGGTTACAGGTGTGGCCCACCACACCTGGCTTGTTTTGTAGCCTTGGAACAGAGAGGCTATTTCTGCAGGACCCTATTGCCATGGGTTCCCTTCTCCAACTTCCCTTGGTGTCCACACCCCATTCTGACCTCTGCCCAGCAACGTTCAAAGTGGAAAGTCAGCTTGTTCCATAACTGGCAGGGTGGGGAGAAGGGAGGAGCCAGGGGTCCCCAGGGACCGCAGGAGCTTAGGGACATCATGTGGTGACATTTGATTTCCACGCCTCGGCCTGACCCAAGGTGTCCTGGGATTCCAGGGGGGACCTACACAGATGGGGACACACGGGCTCAGCAGGCAGGGAAGAAGCGGGGCACACTTGGCACCTCACTCTGCCTCCTCCTCCTTCTTCTCTTCCGTCACCTCCACAGACAGCTGCGAGGGCCTGGCCGCCTCTGCCTCTTCCTCGCTGCCTCCTTCAGGCTTGGATGCTGGTGGGGGTGGAGGCTGAATGGTTGTGGGCTCTTCCTGGGGTTCTGGGGGAGCCGGCTGATCTGCAGGGGCCGAGCCTGCCTCTCCCTCTCCAGCGGCTTCTTGCGCGCTCTTGGCCTGAAATCCAGTAAGGGTGTGTGGTGAGGCATCTCCTCCGGGGGCTCCTGTTCCCACTTCCCAGGACACCAGACAGGCCCTGGGCAGCCTGACCGGGTTCTGGAGCTGAGCATCACCGGCATTTGGGAGGCACAGAATGGATCACCAGAACACTGAAGGATGAATGGCCCAGTGACATTTCATGGAAAGCCTTGGGGGCATTTTTAATTCTTGGGTCGTAGGCTGCAAGCCCGGGTTCAGGCTTTAGTTCAGGTGCAGAGCTAGGCCCTGTCCCATGCATGGAGGTGAGGTGATGCCCATGAGGGAGGGCCATCAAGGGCCTCAAAAGGCTGAGCCATCCTGCCTGCCCCCTCCCCTCCCCTCCCCTGTTACTTTGGATAGCCAGTCCCGGGGCAGTGAGGAAATCTAAGACCTGGGTAAAGGTAATGCAAGCAGGGGACCTGCAGCCTGGCCACCCTTCTGAGGCCCGCCATTGGGCCGAACTGACCCTTGTTTGGGGACTTGGTGGGTGCCTACAGCCTCTACCCTGTCTGCCTCAACAGACACTGGCAGAGCTGTAGCTGGGTATAAGGAACAAGCCTTTATGAATGCCTGTGTTGCCCTGTGGCTCTCTCTGACCCTATCAGTACAGGGAAGGAAACTGGAGAGGGAACAGATCCCAGCGTGTGCGTCTCGAGGGGGGCCCTCAGCTGCTCAGCACCCCTGAAGAAGAGTGGCTATGAGGACTAGAGTTCCCCGAAGATTTGCTCAACAGTAAGGCTTTGCGGGAAGGGGATGATGGCAGTAGGAGGGGACAGGATTCTTCTAGAAGCCAAGGCACCACGGTGGCTTTGGTGACCTGCTGCTCCCTCTGTCTCACTGTTCCTGGGTGCTTTAGCGCCCGGTTGCACCCTGCTCTGTTCATGCTAAGCCCTGCCGATGCCCTTCTAGGATGGGACGCTCAGACAGGATTTTGAACTTGCGGAACTCAGGCCAGAGCCAGGAGAACCATGGGAAGGCTGAGGAAGAGCTGTCACCAAAGGCTTTCGAAGCCACATGCTTCATCTTTACAGCCCGCATGGCTACCATGAGCACGTGGGTCTCAGAGAGCTGGGGGACCTCCCTGGTTCACAGTGACAGCGCTGGGATTTGCCTTGAGCTCCCGCTATTTAGCCCTGGCTGTTGTCAAGTGCAGGAGAAAGCCTTTATTAGCACACGCATGCACATCGCATTCGCCTCTGAGCAGCTAGCTGACACGCAGGAGCAAGGAACCATTTTGATGTCAGGTTCCCGGCCTTCAGCCCTCACAGCAGCCCACATATCAGATCCTCCTGTACCTGGCCAGCTGGACAGCCACTCATCGCTGCCAGGGTGGCACCATTTGATGGCTGTGTCTGGAGAGTGTCTTAGAGCCACGTAGCTTGGATGTCACGTGACAGACTCTGGCTGCCAAATGACCCCCAGGGTGGATCCTCTGACTCACAGTAGCCTGGATTGAGGCTGAATTTATTGGGTCCCCTCTGAGCTCGGTCGCTCCCGTGTTGCCTGTCTCCCCCGGCCTCCCCCAATCCTCGTTCACTAAGTAGCCTTCCCAAAGGATAGGTATGAACAGACATAATTAGTGCAATTATTCTACTTGACATTCTTGGCTTTAGTCACAGAGAAAAAAAAAAGTCCCAGAGCTCATTTGAATATTTCCTTTACATTTCTGAGAATGGGGGGCAGTGGCCTGTGCCTGTCTGTGGGATTTTTCCTTTCAAATAGTTTCAGCTGTCACAGACGCAGTGTGGAGCAGAGAAGATCACCACTGTCACCTGAGGAGGTCAGCCTCCGTCCTCAGACCCGGCAAGAGTGCCAGGGGTTCCCCTTGGGGCTCACCTTCCCCCCATTCTTGGTCCAGGACTGGGCACGTGTGTGACCCAGGTCTCCCAACCCCATCCCAGCTTACTGAACATTCCTCGGAACTTGCATGCGTTCTGGTTCTGTCCTGGTACTTTTGCTAGGATGGCTGTGCTTCCTATTGGGGCTGCCCCAAGGAGGGTGAGTTCCCACACATAGCCATCTACCTGGGAAAACTAGTTCCATAGGCTAAGCTGGGCCGTGTGTGTGTGTGTGTGTGTGTGTGTGTGTGTGTGTGTGTGTGTGTGTGTGTGTGATGACAGTACTGGGGCTTGAACTCAGAGCCTGGGCACTGTCCTTGAACTTTTGTGCTCAAGGCTAGTGCTCTACCACTTGAGCCATAGCTCCACTTGCAGCTTTTTGATGATTGATTGGCAATAAGACTTTCCTGCCCAGGCTAGCTTTGAGCCACAATCCTCAGATCTCAGCATCCCAAGTAGCTAGGATTATAGGCAGAAGCCACGGGTACCTGGCTGCCCTGGGCTTTTGGATGGAGTCTTAGCAGAACTTGTCAATTAGTGGATCCCAAATTTCTCTATATTCTCAAGCTAATTTGAACTTCCTTGCCTTCTGTCATTTGCAAGCAAGCAGTCCTTACCACTGAATGGCCCTTGCTCAGGGGTCTCAAACTCTCCCTGGTGCAAATCTGTGACTGGGCCCCCACCCCAGTTACCTGTTCCAGCAACTGCTGCTGTCTTGCTGCTGCCTCCAGCGCCGCCAGCTCCTTGAGCCGGGCCCGGAGGTGGGCGAGCTTGCCACCGCCTTTGGCTCCCTTGGCCCCCATCTTTCCTGCTGCAGCCAGAGCCGCATTGAAGAGTTTAGGGGTGCCCGCACGTGGGGGGAGGATGAGTACACTCTTCTGTTCTTTGGGCTTGTTGTTACTCCTCAGCATACGCCTGAAAGAGAGCCATACTCTTTATAGGGCAAGAGCTCTGGGTAGGTTTTTGGAGGGGGGAGAATGTGGAGGGGTACTAGGTCTTGGGCATTGTCCCTTAGCGTTTCTGCTCAAGGCTAGTACTCTACTACTTGAGCCACAGCTCCACTTCTGGCTTTTGGGTGGTTAACTAGAGATGAGTCACACAGACTTTCTTGCCTGGGCTAGCCTTGAGACTGGATGGTCAATCTCAGCCTCTTGAGTAGCTCAGATTACAGACATGAGCCATCGGTGCCCAGCTGAGAACTCTGGTTTTGAGGGGTTGGGATGGGAGCTGGGGCCTTGCACATGCTAACCAAATGCGTGTTCATGGATTCTTCCCTTCTGCACAATTATCAGGCATTCTGATAGCTTTGAAAAGGTGTTTTGTGGTTGTTTGCATAATTATTTTCCCAAGGCCTCTGGAATGTTTGGAAAGTTGTTCCACCACTGAGCTACACCTCCAGCCCTAGGTACGTGTGTGTGTGTGTGTGTGTGTGTGTGTGTATGTGTGTGTGTGTGTGTGTGTGTGTGTGTGTGTACCAGGGTTGAACTCAGGACTTCTTGCTCTCTCAAAGCTTTGTCTGCTCACAGTGGGCACTCTACCACTTGAGCCATGCCTCTAGCCCAGGCTGATTCTTGTGCCCCTGACAGTTGGACAAAACTGAGACTCAGAGTGGGTGTGGGAGCCACATGGCTGAGGTTGCCAGTAAGTGGTACAGGCAGCATCATAGCCCTGATCGACTGCAGTGGAGCACCCAGTGTCTCTCAGTACATGCAGAATTTCCCATCACACAGAAGCCCTGTCTTTCTGTGGGACTCCGCGTGCTGGGAATGTGTGATGAGCAACTTGGCCCAAGAACAAATGAATTTCGCCTGCAATCTTGCGGGTCTAGACTACTAATTGGCAAATTCATTCATCAGGCTGCCAGCATAACTTGTTTGTTTAAAAATGAGGCCATTACTGGCTGCTTATCTAATCAGAGGCAATGGGTTTAAATTGTGCATAGTGATATTAATTGACCAAGATTTGCATTTTCTCCCTGCCCCCCCCCCACCTCCTCACTCAGCCAGAGAATACAAACAGGATAATTCATCAGAGGCCTCACAGGCCCCAGCCCTGCCCTGCCACCTGTGTTATTTGAGTCCATAATTCAGGAAGGCTCACTCTGGTGCAAAATAGCACAAAACAATGATCCCCAGGAACTGCTGCAAGCTATGCTGTGCTGGCCAGCTCAGAAGGCCAGGCCGGCTTCTGGACATTCTAGAGGAGGACAGTTAATGCCCCTTTTCAGATGATGAGACAGCGTTTCTAGAGCCAGGATCCCAGCAATGGCCCCCACAGGGGACAGTTCATCTCCTTTCATGGGGTGACCGGCCAGCCAGAGACCTGAGACCTGAGTACCTCACCTCTGTGGTGCCTCAGGTCCTCTACAGCCTGAGCACAGGCTTGGGAACACTGCTAAGAATAAGGGCTATCTGTGGGAGGGCCCTAGGGGGCCCCAGTGGATTGCCAAGCCCCCAACCTACTGAGGAACCATCCCAGGTCGTGGGGACAAGGATATGGGGTATCGTCATGCAGTGCAAGACCCCAGACTTGATCCGGAAGAAAAGAAGAAAAGCAAAAACTATAAGTGATACTTTTGGGACAATTAGGAAAATTTGCCTATGGATTACTGATGAGGTAATAGCTCTGACTCCAGCATAAAGGTCCTGATTTTGATAAAGGTGCTGTAGTAATCTCAGGCCTGAGCTCTGGCCCGGGCGCTGGGCCTCAGCTCTTCAGCTCAAGGCTAGCCCTGCACCACTTGAGCCACAGCGCCACTTCCAGTTTTCTCGTGGTTAAGTGGAGATAAGAATCTCACAGACTTTCCTGCCTAGGCTGGCTTTGAACTGCGATCCTCAGATCTCACTCTCCTGAGTAGCTAGGATTACAGCTGTGAGCCACCAGTGCCCAGCTTCTTAGCTTCTTTTTTTTTTTTTTAATTGTTGCTGGGAATGTTGTTGTTGTTAATTTTTTGAGATTGGAGGGCTGGTGGGGGGGTCTCATCATGGAGCCCAGGCTGGCCTTAAACTTGTAATCTTCCTGCCCCAGCATATACCATAATACCAGTTTAACATCTGTGTGTGTGTGTGTGTGTGTGTGTGTGTGTGTGTGTGTGTGTGTGTGTGTATTGATCCTGGGGCTTGATCTGAGGGCCGGGCACTCTCCCTTAGCTTTTTTGTTCAAGGTTAGTGCTCTAGCACTTGAGCCACAGCTCCACTTCTGGCTTTTTGGTGGATAATTGGAGAGTCTAGCTGACTTTCTTGTTCAAGTTGACTTTGAATCTTTTTCTTCTGGTTGTGGGGCTTGAACTCTGGGCCTAGGTGTTTGGGTGCTATCCCTCAGCTCTTCAGCTCAAGGCTAGCGCTCTACCACTTGAGCCACAGCTCTACTTCCAGCTTTTTCTGCTTATGTGGTGCCGAGGAACCAAACCAGGGTCTCATGCATGAGAGGCAAACACTCTACCACTGAGCCACCTTCCCAGCCCAACTTTGAATCTTAATCCTCAGATCTCAACCTCCTGACTAGCTAGGATTACAGCCATAAACCATGAGCCACTGGCACTTGGCACACAAGTGTACACACACACACACACACACACACACACACACACACAAAAGTCAATTCTGTACCTGGCCTTCTTCCGGAGTAACTTCTGAGATTCAGGATAATGCACTAAAATTTCATTCAAGTCCTTCTTGTCCAGAATGAAGAGGTTGGTGAAGCCGTGAGCCACGACATTGGCTGTGCGCCGGTTCCCTCCTCCCACCGCCAGCAAGCTGGGGCGAAGAAGAAGGAGGTGAGGCCACTCCGAGGCTGTAGTCCTGACCACATTCAGCTCTGTCAACCCCTACCCTCTCAGAGCCACACCCCAAGGCCCGTGAGAGTCCCAGCCTTGTGCTTTCCAGCAGGGGCCAGTCCCCCAAAGTTCCAGAAACCCTCCAGCCTTTGTTCAGAGCCCACGCTTTACCCTCGCCCCTCTGACCTTATCTCTCCAAACACAGATCCGGCTTTGAGCGTCACCAGCACAGCCTTCCCGTCCGGGCCGCCCAGCACCTGCACCTGCCCAGCCTGGATGATGTACATTTCACGGCCAATCTCCCCCTGGAACAGAGGACTACTGAGCCCCTCTGCTGTCCCTCACAGAGACCCAGTAAGGAAACATTGAGGCTCATCCAAGCCCTGCACCACCACCCCCAAGGTGGGGGCCGATCACTTCCTCTGTGCACTGGGGACAGAACCCTTGTCTCCCCCATCCATATAACAGACAAATTGTAGCATCAGGAATGGGCTTAGCCTCCAGAGTGCTGGGATTACACTTGGTCCTCTGTTACTTTATTTTTTTCAACAAATGTTTCCTGGTCATCACACACACACACACACACACACACACACACACACACACACACACACATCTTACCTCTACCTCTCTGTGGGAAGGAAGAGAGCTGAATTTCCTTGTTTCTGTGTTTGGTCTGACACAGAATCAAGGTGTGAGGGCTCCCCACTCACCACCAGCCTACCAATGTTCCAGAGAGAATGTCAGTGCTGACCAGGGAAGCAGAGGGCACAGTGCTCACCCGGCATCCACTTTAACTCAACTACAGTTTCCCCAGCACCACAATGGCCTCCTCTCCCCCACAGAAAATTACATCACCGCACAGACAAGAACAGCAGCAATCATGCCCACTCTGTGCCAGGCACGGTGCCCTGCTTATCCAATCCTGACAACTCCCTCACGAGGGAGACACTACGGAAAGCCCTACTTCCTCCCTGAGACAGATCTCAGAGAGGATAAGCCACCTGCCCAAGGCTGCGCAGCTGAGAAGTCACTTCAATGTCAGGCAAATTTCTCTACTATTCCAATACACTGAATCGTCTCTAAGGTCGCAGCTTTAAATTCCCAGCCATTGGGCTGGACATTGTAGTACAGGCCTATGATCCAATCATTGGGAAATCTGAGACTGGAGCATGGAGACTTAGAGGCCAGGAGGGCTACACAATGAGATCCTATTACAACAAACAAACAAAGAAATCTCAGCCCTCTGCAGCACCCTTTTCTTCCTCTTCCCTGGTTCTCTGCCTCCAGAAAGTTCAACGCTAGGTGGCACACTACCCACCTAGAGACAGGGGTCTTCCTGGGGTCCTCAATCTTACAGTGCCTGCTTGGGCAATATTTTCACCCTGGTATGCGCACTCAGCCTTATTAACAGCTCTAACCAAGAGAACTGAGACCTAGGTTTCTGTCCCCTTGACCTCAGTGACCTTGAATCCCAAAGGCAGGGAGCAGAAAGGGCTGTGGACACTGTTTCCCCAGGTTTAAAGCCATGTTTTCCCTGGGAGGAAACTGGGGAATGGGGCCTGGGGCATCCAGAGAGGACACAAGTGTCCCCACGCTAGGGAAGCCCCTCCTCTATGGATGTTGTGGGAAGGGGACCCTGAATGGGCATTTATTCTATTTTTCAATTACTCATCTGGACTTTAGTGTGATATTGCCTTTGTGTTTTGTTTTGTTTAAGAGTCTCACCAGGTAGCCTAGGCCAACCTACAATGTGCAATTCTCCTGCCTCAGCCTCCCGAGTGATGGGATTATAGGCATATACCACAATGCCAGGCCTAAATCTTCCAATTTTTAAAGGTTAGGGAATAGTTCGACTTAAAAAGATCAGAAAACATCTATCAACACGTCTCTGTCCTGGATCCCAGGATGTAGGACCAGAAGGCTACTACTATCTAATGGAGAGGCTGAGGTGGTAGCCTCGGGGAGCTGCCTCCCTTCTGGCCCCATTTTTGTGATGGGAAGACTGAGGCCTTGGAAGCCTCTCTGGAGACACAGGCAGGACCCCTTTCAGGCTCCTCCACCCTTGTAGGGCAGGCTCTTCACCCCTCACCCCAGCTACCACATCCCCAGGGAGAGAAAGCGGGAAATGCCTGGCAGACCTGTGCACATCTGCATTCACATCCACAGCTGGACACAGCCTCCCATTCCCAGGCCAGCAGCTCCCCAGGAGCCTGGCTCTGCCCGACTTGCAGACCCTGAGCCACCCGGGCTCCCAGGCAGCGCCCAGCCTCACCTTCTTGCACACGTAGTCATTGGGCAGGTAGACCACCGAGCGAAGTCTCTTGAGCATGTCGAAGATCATCTGCCGGTCACAGCCCTGCCGCGGGGAAGGGAGGAGAGGGAGGAGTCCCTTTAGAGGAAGGTTTGGGTTTGGGGTGCCCCACTCCTGAGGATGAGGGTGCCTGGGGAGGGGTACCTGAAAGAGTGCCACTTTGCTGACGATGTCATAGTTCACGTCGATGGCCAGGTCCAGCCGCATCTTGTCTGGAAGCTGCACCATCAGCTCCGACTCATCTGTGAAGGGGACCCCGAGGGGTCAGAGCAGGGCCAGGCCGGCCCCACACACCCAGGCTGAGCTTCCACAACCGGCTCACCCGCACAGATAACGCACATTCACACCTTCCCCCGCCACACGCGGCCATTCCAGCTCCCAAGAGTGACATCTCCTCTCTGAGCTTTTGTCCACACCAGTCCCGCTGACAACGTCCCTAACTCCTAGTTACTCCTCAAAATCCAGCACCAATGTCACCTCCTCCAGGAAAGCCTGCCCACACCCCCCTCTGCTTCTATGTTAGCAGTCTGTGTGCCATAGCACCTCTCACCCCCAAACTGCAATTGTTTATGGGCTGTTCCCCTCAGACCAGATGTTAGAACTGGCTGACCATGTGCCAGGGTTTAGAGCGCATTTTCCAAGATCATTGCGCTCAGCCCTCCCAGCCCCAATAGAGGCAGATGGGTAAAAGCTGTCATCCTGAGCAGCAATGCCTCGACGGGGCCACACAGCCACAGGTCAGAGTGGAGGTAGGCTGTAGCCAGAACAGGCTCACTGGAGTAGCTGCAGAACACAGGCGAGGAAGGAGGGTGGGGGGAGGAGATGGACGGACAGGAGACCTCCTCCTTCTCTGATTTTTATGTTTTATACTCCTTTGGCCCTTTTTGCTTTCGTGTGTGTGTGTGTGTGTGTGTGTGTGTGTGTGTGTGTGTGTGTGTGTGTGTGCGTGTGCGTGCACGCTAGTCGTGGGGCTTGAATTCAGGGCCTGGACACTGTCCCTGAGCTTTTGTGCTCAAGGCTAGTGCTCTACCTCTTGAGCCACAACTCTACTTCCAGCTTTTTGGTGGTTAATTGGAGGCAAGAATCTCATAGACTTTCTTGCCCAGGCTGGCTTCAAACCACAATCCTCAGATCTCATCTTCCTGAGTAGCTAGGCTTACAGGCATAAGCCATCAGCACCTGGCTGATTTTTATTTATTTATTTATTTTTATGACACAGGTCTCACTTTGTAGCCCGGGTTGGCCTTGAACTTGCCATCTGCCTGCCCCAGCCCCTTGAGTGGACTATCATGCCTGATTGCTTCCCTGGTTAATCTGTACGTTGACCTTTGATAGAGCTGTGTCTCAAGGCAGGTCGGGTGTAGAGAAAGGGCATCCAGAGACAAAGCCTTCAGGCTTTGGGAATGCAGGACAGTCCAGCTTCGTTCACCTCACAGGCCTTGCTAGGGCCTCTCACACCAATATTGGGGTCACAGCCAAGGAGGCTCCAGGGGTCAGGACCTCAGAGTCAGAGGATGAGGGAGGAGCCCCAAGATGGGGTGCCAGGTGTCAAGGGTTGTCTGGGGGAGGCTGTTGGCCTCCAGAGCATGGCCAGCTTACCCAGCATGCCTTGGGAGTGCCAGGTGTATTCGTACCAGGTCTTGACACGGTTCTGCACGGACCTGGGGATCTTGTAGAAGTTCATGTACTTCACGGTGCTGTCCATGCAGCTGCGATAATAGGTCTGGCCAGCGGTGGCAGCACCTACCACATCTCTCATCTACAACAGGGTTTGCAGGAGGTGAAGGAGGTGCTGGGCCACAGCAGGGGTAGTATGGAAGGGGTTTGGAGGTGTCATTTCACAGTGAAGTCCACACATTGGAGGCTTTACTGGGGGAGGAAGCCGGCCTTCTGCAGGGATGTGGGAAGAGAAAGCCGGGCTGACTCAGGCTGGCCTCAGGTGAAGGGGCTCTTCCAGGTGGGGAGTGCCTCATTGGGCTGGGATGATTCTGGAGCTATGCACGGCCCTGTGCTGGAGGAAATAGGAGCCCCAAGTTCTGTTTTCAGGGTGCTGCCCTCCAAACATTGCTTGAGGACTCTAATTGTCACCTCATGGACTAGAATGTACGACCTCCCTCCTGCCCTACCTGTTAGAAAGGACCACACAGCCCAAGGCCTCAGTCTTACAGAAAACTATGCAGCCTCCCCTCTTGGCCCCCCTCCATACTCATATCACTATCCAGAGAGGGCTCTCCTCCCCTCCCGCAGAACTCTGGGCTCCTTTTGTAGTCCAGTGCCCATGCCAGGGCCATGGGTGTAGAGGAGGATGCTTCTGACAGAGATGGGGGTGGGGGACCTGCAGTGGGAGTGTCTATAGGTAGGAGGGGTCTGTGATGGGAGAGTCTATAGATGGGAGGGGCCTGTGGTGGGAGGCGGGCCCATGGGAGGGGCCAGGATGCTTGGGTGGGGTCCCAGCTACCTGTCCAATCATCACAGAGAAAGCAAAGACACCAGTGAAATAGTTCAGCAGCTGGAAGACAATTTCAAAGAGCGTCTGGGGATCAGGCAACCCCCCGATGGTGATGAGAGTCTTCACGGCCCAGTAGTAGCAGCGAATGTAACTAGAAAGAGAAAAAAAGGAACCCTGGTTATCACAGGACTCGCTTTGCCACCCTTGGGGGTGTGGCTCAGACACCTCCTGATCCTTTTGCATGATGCAAAATGGGGGTACTGTTACAGTACCTGGATACACAAAAACAGCCTCCAGTCCAGGCAGAGGGTGCAGAGGTTTGCAAAGCAGGTCTGAAGATAAGGTCTAGTTCAGACATGGCTCTATGCCAACTCTGCAGGGACCTGTGGTCACCCACTCACACAGTGATACCATTTGGATATGCCTCTCCCACCCCCAAAAGCTCACATATCCAAGGCCTGGTCTCTGAGGCAGGCACGATTTGTGAGAATGGCTCTTTGGGGATGTGACCAGATCAGGAAGGCTCTGTCCTCATCAGTGGATAAGTCCATGGATGGACTCATAGTTTGATGGTAATATTGGGAGGTGGTGATGGGGACTTAGTGGCAGGGCCTGGATGGAGGAAGTGGGTCACTGGGTGCTATGCCTGTGAAGGATCTACCTTGTTCCCTGCCCCTTCCTGTCTGTTCCTCTCTCTGCTTGCTGGCTGCCATAAGGTAAGCTGCTCTGCTAGACTCCAACCTGCCGCCATGAAGTGCTGCCTCACAGGCCCCCAAACAACAGAACCAGCTGACAATGGACTGTAACCTCTGAAGTTGTGAACCAAAATAAACCTTTAAGGTGTTCTTTTTTTTTTTTATTTTATTTTATTTTTTTTATTGTAAAGCTACTATACAGAGGGTCACAGTTACATGAGTGAGGTTATGAGTACACTTCCTCTTGAACCTTGTTACCCCCTCCATTGTTTTCCCCCTACCATCCCCTCCCTCCCTCCCTTCCCCGAGGTTCTTTTTTTTTTTTTTTTTTTTTGATTGTGATTAAATGATTACATAATTTCAAAGTCACAAGTTCATTCTAACTTCCCTGGAGCAAATTGTCTACCACAGTCTGTAATATATAACAGTGTTCACATGTTATATACCATATTTGTGATCAGCAGCATGAGGATATTTAGTAGTGGTTCAACCAGATGAGCGGGAGTTCTTTGTTTCTTAAGTCCTGTTAGTTTTGTCGTATCACTAACCTTTTGGATTTAGCATCCACTTATGAGGGAGACCATGTACCGTTTGTCTCTTCGTTCTTGGCTTACCTCGCTCAACATGATTCCTTCTAGCTCCATCCATTTCCCTGCAAATGCCATTATTTTGTCATTTCTAATGGCTGCATAATATTCCATTGTGTATAGATACCACAATTTTTGGATCCATTCATCTGTGGTGGGGCACCTAGGTTGTTTCCATATCCTAGCTATTGCGAACAGTGCTGCAATAAACATGGAGGTGCACGTGTCCTTGTATATTGGTTCCTGTTGTTCAGGGTAGATGCCTAGAAGTGGTATGACTGGGTCGTAAGGGAGGTCAATCTTTAGCTTTCTAAGGACCCTCCAGACTGCTTTCCAAAGGGGTTGTATAAGTGTACATTCCCACCAGCAGTGTAATAGGGTTCCTCTTTCTCCACATCCCCTCCAGCATTTGTCGTTGGCTGATTTGTGGATGTGGGACATTCTGACTGGGGTAAGGTGGTATCTCAGGGTTGTCTTTATTTGCATTTCCTTCACCACCAGGGATGATGAACATTTCCTCATGTGTTTCTTTGCCATTTTTATTTCTTCATTTGAGAAGTCCCTCTTTAGTTCCCTTGCCCATTTAGTAATTGGTTTGTTAGGTTTGGGAGGGATTAGTTTCTTGAGTTCCCTGTATATACAGGATGTTAACCCCTTGTCTGATATATTGCTGGTAAATATTTTTTCCCAATTAGTTGGTTGTCTTTCTAGCTTAGTTGCGATAGATTTAGCTGTGCAGAAGCTTTTTATTTTAAGGTAGTCCCATTTGTCGAGTCTCTCTCCAACTTGTTGTGACCCTGGGACTCTGTTCAGGAAGTTCCTTCCTGTGCCTATTAGTTCAAGTGTCTCTCCTACTCTGTCCTGCAGTAGTTTCAGAGATTCAGGTTTAATGTTAAGGTCTTTAATCCATTTTGAGTTGATGTTGGTGCATGGTGATAGGCTGGGGTCCACTTTTAGTTTTCTGCATGTGGCTGCCCAGTTTTCCCAGCACCAGCGGTTGAAGAGGCTGTGTTTCTTCCATTGTATGTCTTTGGCTCCTTTGTCGAATATCAGCTGGCTGTAGGCCTGTGGATTTATATCTGGATCTTCTATTCTGTTCCATTGGTCTTCGGGTCTGTTTTTGTGCCAGTACCATGCTGTCTTTGTGATTATAGCTCTGTAGTAGAGTTTGAAGTTCGGCATGGATAGCCCTCCCATATTGTCTTTATCCCCTAGAATTGTTTTGGCTATTCTAGGTCTTTTGTTGTTCCATATAAATTTTTGGACTGTTTTCTGTATTTCAGTGATGTACGTCATTGGGATTTTAATAGGAATTGCATTGAATTTGTATATTAATTTTGGAAGTATCACCATCTTTACTATATTAAGTCGGCCTATCCAGGAGCATGGGAGGTCTTTCCATTTCCTAGTGTCTTCTGCAATTTCTTTCTTTAACTTTTTATAGTTCTCATTAAATAGTTCTTTTACATCTTTGGTTAGGTTAATTCCTAAATATTTTATTTTTTGGGAGGTTATTGTGAATGGGGTTGCTCCCTTTATTTCCCTCTCTTCCTGTGCGTTATCAGTGTATAGGAAGGCAACTGATTTTTGTGGGTTTATTTTGTATCCTGCTATTTTGCCGAAGTGACTTATGATTTCTAAAAGTTTGGGGATGGAGTTTTTGGGATCGTGGAGGTATAGTATCATGTCGTCTGCAAAAAGGGATAGTTTCACTTCTTCTTTCCCTATGCGGATCCCTTTAATGTCTTTTTCTTGCCTTATTGCCCTGGCTAAGGGTTCTAGGACTATGTTGAAGAGGAGTGGAGACAGTGGACATCCTTGCCTTGTTCCTGTTTTTAGGAGGATTGGTTGTAGCTTTTCCCCATTAAGTATAATATTGGCTATTGGTCTGTCATAAATGGCTTTTATTGTTTTTAGAAATGTTCCTTCTATTCCTATTTTCTCCAGAGCTTTTAGCATGAATGAATGTTGAATTTTATCAAAGGCCTTTTCTGCATCTGTGGCGATAATCATGTGATTCTTGACCTTGGCTCTGTTGATATGCTGGATTACATTTATTGACTTACGTATGTTAAACCATCCCTGTGTCTCTGGGATGAAGCCTACCTGATCATAGTGTATTATTTTTTTTATGTGTTTCTGGATTCTGTTAGCTAGAATCTTGTTAAGGATCTTTGCATCTGTGTTCATCAAGGAGATTGGCCTGTAATTCTCCTTTTTGGTTGGGTCTTTGCCTGGTTTGGGGATGAGTGTGATATTGGCTTCGTAGAATGAGTTTGGGATAGCTCCCTCCTTCTCTGTTTCTCTGAAGAGCTTGAGGAGTATGGGTATTAGTTCTTCTTTAAAGGTCTTATAGAATTCTGCTGTGAATCCATCTGGTCCTGGGCTTTTTTTTGTTGGAAGACTTTTGATAGCTTCCTGTATCTCATTATAGGATATTGGCTTATTTAATTGGTTAACTTCTTCTTTGCTCAGTTTGGGTAACTTGTATTTCTCTAAAAATGCATCCATTTCCGCCAGATTTTCTTCCTTTAGAGAGTATAGCTTTTGAAAGTAGTCTGTTAGAATTGTTTGGATATCTTGGGTACGTGTTGTGATGTTTCCCGTGGCATCCCTAATCCTATTAATATGGGTTTCCTCTCTTCTTTTTTTAATTAATCTTGCCAACGGGCCATCAATTTTGTTTATTTTTTCAAAGAACCAGCTTTTTGTTTGGTTTATTTTGGTTATGGTTTTCTGATTTTCTAATTGGTTAATCTCTGCTCTCAATTTGGTTATCTGGCTTCGTCTAGTAGCTTTAGGTCCCATTTTTTCTTGTTTTTCTAGCTGTTTTAGTTGCAACATGAGATTATTTACTTGGTCTGTCTCCATTCTCTTGATGTGGGCACTGAGGGCAATAAATTTGCCCCTCAGGACTGCTTTTGCTGTGTCCCACAAGTTTCTTTGTGAGGTGTTTTCATTTTCATTGAGTTCTAGGAAATGCTTTATTTCTTCTCTGATCTCTTCTGTTACCCAGGCCTTGTTAAGGAGTGTGCTGTTCAATTTCCATGTATTAGAGAAATTTCTGCGGTATGCTTTGTTATTGAGAGCTAGCTTGATTCCACTGTGGTCAGATAGGATACAGGGGATTATGTCGATCCCTTTGTATTTGCTTAAGTTCCTTGAATGAACTATGATATGGTCTATTTTGGAGAAAGTTCCATGAGCTGCTGAGAAGAATGTGTACTGTGTTGTTTTAGGGTGAAATACTCGGTAGATGTCAGTTAATTCCGCTTGAAGTATGGCCTCACTTAATTCGGTAGCTTCTTTGCCAATCCTCTGGTTGGTAGACCTGTCCTTTGGTGAGAGTGGCGTGTTAAAGTCTCCTAGTATTATCGTATTGGGATCTATTTTATTCTGTAAGTTTGAGAGCATTTGTTTAACATATCTGGGTGCACCGATATTTGGGGCATATAAGTTGATGATGGTTATATCCTCCTCTTGGATTGTTCCCTTTATTAATATGTAATGTCCGTCCTTGTCTTTCTGTACTGATTTTAATGAAAAGTTTATTTTGTCAGATATCAGGATAGCTACACCTGCTTTCTTATTGGGGGAATTTGATTGGTAGATCCTTTTCCACCCCTTCACTCTGAGTTTGTTTGTATGTTTGGCTGAGAGGTGGGTCTCCTGAAGGCAACAGATGGATGGGTCTTGTTTTCTGATCCAGTCCTCAGTTCGTTTTCTTTTAATTGGCGAATTCAGCCCATTTATATTAAGAGAAAGTATAGAGAGATGCATTGTTGTCCCTGCCATTCCGTTTTCCTAAGTTTTTCTTCTTTCCTTTCCTCCTGTGCTTGCTCAGTTAGACTTTGAGTAATGCCTGTTTG